GGATCCCACAGTTCATCCCATTGGGATCATCATTCCCACAGTTCATCCCGTTGGGATCATCATTCCCAAAACTCATCCCAGATCCCATTTCCCAGCAAATCCCATTGGGATTCCCATCCTGGAGTTCACCCCAATGGGATCCTGTACCTCATCCCATTGGGATCATCATTCCCACATCCCAGATTCCCATTCTCCAGCTCATCCCATTGGGATCATCATTCCCAAAATTCATCCCAGATCCCATTTCCCAGTAAATCCCATTGGGATTCCCATCCTGGAGTTCACCCAATGGGATCCCACAGTTCATCCCATTGGGATCATCATTCCCAAAACTCATCCAGGATTCCCATTCCTGCAGTTCATCCCATTGGGATCATCATTCCCACATCCCAAATTCCCGTTCCCGCGGCTCCTCCCGATCCCTCCCTGCATCCCAGGCTGGAGCTGGGAATTCTCTCTCTCAAAAAAAAAGAAGGAATTTTTAATTAAAAAAAAAGGGGGAAATTTTTAATCCAGGGAAATAAGGAATTTTAACTCAAAGAAATGGGAATTTTTAAACCAGAGGAATGGGAATTTTTAATTTTTTTTAAAAAAGGGAGAATTGTTAAACCAGAGGAATGGGAATTTTTAATTTTTAAAAACTGAGAATTTTTAAATCAGAGGAATGGGAATTTTTAATTAAAAAAAAAAAAAAAAAGGGGGGAATTTTTAAACCAGAGGAATAGGGATTTTTAACTCACGGAAATGGGACTTTTTAACTCAAAGGAAGGGGAATATTTAATTTGAAGGAATTGGGATTTTTAACTCAAGAAAATGAGAATTTTTGATTCAAAAAAGAAAGGAATTTTAAAACCAGAGAAATGGGAATTTTTAATTCAAAAAAAGGGGAATTTTTATTCCAGAGAAATAGGGATTTTTAACTCAAGGAAATTGGAATTTTTAACTCAAAGAAATGAGATATTTTTACCAAAAACCCCAAGAATTTTAAACCAAAGGGAGGGGAATTTTGAACTCAAAAAATGGGAATTTGTAATCCAAAGAAATGAGATATTTTTTTCCCCCAAAGGATTGGGAATTTCCACTCCAGAGGAGGAAAATTGGGATTTTCCATTTTTTTTCCCCATTTTTGTTTTGCTTTCCTCTGACCTCAACCAAAAATCAACCAAAAAAATGAATTTTATGACCAAAAAAAAAAAAAAAAAATCCAAATTTTTGCATTTTTCTCCCCCTTTAAGGGAATTTCTCTCCCGGAAATGAAATTTTCCCCCCAAACTGCCCCAAATTTGCTGATTTTCCCCCCAAACCAAGAGATACCAGCCCAAAATTTTATATTTTCATTTATTTTTAAATTTATATTTCTTTTATTCTGTCTATTCCCACTGCAGCTCCACTCCCCTCAATCTATTTCTTACTTAAAATTGATTTTTTTTTTATTCTTTGGTCGCTTAAATTCCCTCCAACACCCCAAAAACCAAAGCGAAAATCACCATAATTAACATCAAGATGATAATTCTTATTTTAATGATTATTTTTTGCTGCTCCAGGCACCTTTTTAATGAAAATTTCGAGGTATTTTGAATTTTTTTTTCCCTCCCAATCCCCGTAACATTTACAGGACATTTACAGAGAATTTATTGCAATTTACAGAACATTTACAAATATTTACAAATATTCACCATCATTTACATCCCCACGCGCCAGCGGAGAAACGAACAAAATCTCTGCCCAAAAAATGTGATTTTTTTTAATAGAAAAATTGAATTTTTAGCCGTATTTACACCGGGATAAAAATCGGGGCCGCTCCCCCCGCAATTCCCGAGGTGATTTTATCCAAAAAATATTCCTGAGGTTTTTTATTTTTTTATTTTTGGGGGGGCGTCTGGAGGTTGCTGGATTTAAATATTTATATTTATAGATTTAGATTTATAGAGGATTTTAACATATTTATACATTTTTTAATATATTTCTATGATTTTTAGAGAGGATTATAAATATAAATATTCATCCTCAGCGAACATCCCGGGATTTTTTATTTTTCCCCCAACCCCACCTGCAAATTATTTAAAATTCCATTAAAAAACAAAAATACAAAATATATTTTTAACCCCACCCGGGTTAAAATTCCATGGAAAACCTCCCCTAAAATCCGATTTTCTCGCCGCGTTTTGGGCTCGTTTGGGGGGATTTTTTTGGGAATAATTGCTCGAAAAATCCCAATATTTTCCCGAGGGAATTTCCCGCTGCTCTGCTCAGTGGGAGGGGGAGAAATAAACAAAAAAAAAAGCGATTTAACCCCAAAAATCCCTGCTAAAAATCCAAATTAAATTAACATCTTTTAGCACCAATTCGCCACTTCCAGAGAAAACCGTGCCCAGCACATCCCAAATATTCCCAGCCTTTATAAATCCCTTTTTTCTCCCATTTTTTTCCATTTTTTTTTTTTCCTGATTTTTTTTAAAATAAAAAAATGGAATTAAAAACTGGAATAAATCCAACAGGCCACATGTGAAGATTTTCCTTTCAATCCTTCTCTTTTTCCCTTTCAACGATTTTTTTTTTTTTTTTTTTTTTTTTTTTTTTTTATATTTTGTTTTCAGGCCTAGATTTCGGAGGAAGAATTCAGAATTTTCCAAGCGGGATCCTGGGAAAAAAAAAAAAAAAAACCCAAATCAAATTTGATTTTTTGGGGTTTTTTTTACGTTTCCAAAGCAGAAATTTGGGCTTTTTGTGTTGGAAAATCCCATCGGGAATTTCCAAAGTTTTGGAAAGTTTTAAAGTGTGGGGAGGGAGGGAAATTCCAGCCGGGATCAAATCCATTCCCGAATTTCTTGGATTTTTTCCCAAAACCTTTTCCAGGGATGATTATGCCACAAATTCCTCATTTTTTTTCCCTTTTCCACCACTTTTAAAAAATATTTTTCACATTTCCATGGAGCGGCTTCAAGTCACTTCCTGTCCACCCCTCCCACTTTCTCCCAGAATTCCCAAATTTTTTTTTTTTTTAATTTGGCGTTTCCTCCCTGCCCCTACACCAGGAAAACGCCGCTGGAAAATCGGGATTTTCTGGATTTTCCATATTTTCCCCGGGATCCACTCGGCCTGGAAAGGGACGGGATTTTTATTGATTTAATTCAATTTTTTATGGAAAAGGAGAAATGAGGGATGGGGTTTGGGGTTTTTGGGGTTTTTTTTTGGAGTAGGGTCGGGAGCTCCTTCCCAGCTCATTCCCAGTTTATTTCCAATTTATTCCCACCTAATTCCCAGTTCATTCCCAGCTCATTCCCAGTTTATTCCCAGTTAATTCCCAGCTCATTCCCGGCTCATTCCCAGTTCATTCCCAGTTTATTCCCAGTTCATTCCCGGCTCATTCCCAGTTTATTCCCGGCTCATTCCCAGTTCATTCCCAGTTCATTCCCAGCTCATTCCCGGCTCATTCCCAGTTTATTCCCAGTTTATTCCCGGCTCATTCCCAGCTCATTCCCAGCTCATTCCCAGTTTATTTCCAATTTATTCCCAGTTCATTCCCAGCTCATTCCCAGTTCATTCCCAGCTCATTCCCAGTTCATTCCCAGTTCATTCCCAGTTCATTCCCAGCTCATTCCCAGTTCATTCCCAGTTCATTCCCAGCTCATTCCCAGTTTATTCCCAGCTCATTCCCAGTTTATTCCCAGCTCATTCCCAGTTCATTCCCAGTTCATTTCCAGTCCATTCCCAGTTTTCCCAGTAGCTGCTTTATCCCTAAATCCCTTTCCTGGGAATCACCCCCTCGTTTCCAGCAGCACGCGGAGTTTTTTGGGAATTATTTGGGTTTTCATCTCACCCTAAAACTCCTCCCAAACCCAATATCACACGTGGGCCCAAATTGGACCCAAATTGGACCAAAATCAGCCCAAATTTGGACCCAAATTGGCCCCAAATCAATTCCAAGTCAGGCCCAAATCAATCCCAAATTAACCCCAAATCAGCTCCAAATCGGACCCGAGTCAGACCCAAAGTAGCCCCGAATTGGACCCAAATGAGACCCAAAATCGGCCCAAATTCAGCCCCAAATCAGACCCAAAATAGCCCCGAATTGGCCCCAAATCAGCTCCAAGTGGGGCCAAAGTCGGCCCCAAGTCGGACCCAATCCAACCCCAAAAGAGCCCCAAATCTGTTCCAATTAGGATCCGAATCGGACCCAAATCAGCTCCAAACGGGCCCCAAATCGGGCCCAAAAAACGTCCCCAAAATCAGCCCCAAATCGGACCCAAATCAGCCCCAAATCTGTTCCAAGTAGGACCCAAATCAGCTCCAAACAGGCCCCAAATCAGGCCCAAAAAACGTCCCCAAAATCAGCCCCAAATTGGACCCAAATCAGCCCCAAATCAGCTCCAAACCATCCCCACATCAGCCCCAAACTGAGCCAAAAGAGCCCCAAAACGTCCCCAAACCATCCCCAAATCAGGCCAAAATGGCCCCAAAACGTCCCCAAAATGTCCCCAAATCGGCCCCAAACCATCCCAAAACAGCCCCAAAACATCCCCAAATCGGCACCAAACCAGCCCAAAACGTCCCCAAACCGGCCCCAAATCGGGCCAAAACGGCCCCAAAACGTCCCCAAACCGGCCCCAAATCAGGCCAAAATGACCCCAAAACGTCCCCGAACCACCCCGAACAACCCCAAACCATCTCAAACCACCCCAAACCAGCCCGAACCGTCCCAAAACGTCCCCAAACCACCCCAAACCACCCCAAACCATCCCGAACCATCCCAAACCATCCCCAAACCACCCCGAACCATCCCCAAACCGTCCCGCTCCCATCCCCGGCGCCTCCGCGGTCCCGGGCCGGTTCCTGCGCTCCTCAGGGACCCTCCGCGACCCCCGCGCGGCATTTGGGGCTGGGGGGCGCGGGGACGGCGCTGCCCCCCAGGTGCCACCGCCACAGCGGGTGCGTCTTGGCCAGCGCCCAGGACTTTTTGCCACCCAGCGACGAGGCCGGGCACAAATCGCCGTCCTCGCCCACCACCAGCGAGGGCGTGCAGGGGAAGTTGCCCATCAGGCTGAAGGAATTCCGCGGCTTCGCTTCGTTTCCCTTCCTGGAATTCCTCCTGGGATTTTTCGGCGGTCCGGTTTTGGAGGAGCCTCGCTGCCTTTCGGTGACCCTGGCGAGTCGCCGCCGCTTGGAGTTGCCATCCTGGCGACCTCGCAGCGCCGCGGGGCTCTCGGTTCCCGTTGCACCGGGCTGGAAGCGCAGCTCCGCTCCCCTCCAGAGCTCCGGGCTGCCCGGGCCGTGCCTCAAACCTTTCCCGTCCGCGTTGAATCCTTTGGCGTAGCACCACAGCTTGGACTGGCGGATCAAGCGGTCGAAATGCTCCGGTCGGGGCTCGCCGAGGGCAGCGGGGCTCGCCCGCGGCTCCGGGGCCGCTTCGGGGCAAAGCGCCGGCCCCGGGGAGGCTCCGCGGGGCCGCTCGGCCCGGCAGCTTTTGTTCGGGGCATCTTTGTGCAAATCCTTCCCTCCGGCCTCCGCAAAGCCGCGCTGCTTTTGTGGCGGGGCCCCCGCGGGGCTGCTGCGGCTCGGGGAGGGAGGGGGCGAGGAGGAGGAGGAGGAGGAGGAGGAGGAGGAGGAGGAGGAGGAGGAGGAGGAAGCAGGGGAGGCTTCGTGCCTGCCGTCGAGCCCCGGTGGAGCCCCCGGCGCTGCGGCCGCGCTCAAACTTGCCAAAGTTGAGGCTCGCAGGGTGCGGGCCCAGAGGTGCTGCGAGAGGAAGAGGAGCTCGGGCTCGGGGCGCAGCGCTTTGCCCGGGGGCGGCTCCGCCGGCCGCTCCTCCCCGAGCGCTTCCCGCAGCGGCTGGGAACGGGGCAGGGCCGCTTGTCGGTACCGAGTGCTCTGCACCGAGTCCCCGCTGCTCTCCGACTCCGAGGAGCTGCCCTCCTCGCTGCTGCACGAGCTGTCCCCTTCCTCCTCCTCCTCATCCTCCTCCTCCTCCTCCTCCTCGTCCTCCTCCTCCTCCTCCGAGGAGTCGCTGGAGGTGGCGGCGCTGGAGGCGGCGAGGTCCAAGCTGGAATCCGAATCGCTGGAGTAGCCGGCGGACGTTCCGTGGCGCTTGGGAACGGGGAGACTGCGGCAGCGAGCCTTCCTGCCGCCCACCGGCCCCGCTCCGCCCGGGACGAGCCCCCCGGGCCAGCCCGGAGCCCTCCGCCCCCGGCCCGCGGTCCCGAGCGCGGCCGGCAGCGCGCAGGGCACCGCGGGGTGCAGCAGCGCTAAATACCGGGGAGAACCGGCGGGGACACCCCCAAAAATCCCCCCGCGGACCGGCTGCGGCTGCTGCGGGCCGGGGGGAGCGCAACAAGCGCTGGCTCGGCAGGGCAAGGCGGCCGCGGAGGAGGGCAGGAGCAGCTGCTGCCTCCTCCTGCTCTTCCTCCTCCTCCTCTTCCTCCGGCGGAGGCTCCGGCAGGAGGTGCAGAGCGCCTCGAGGTCCGCCTTGGAGATGAGCGAACACTTCGCGGCGCGGGTGGGCACGGAGTTGATGGCTTTGAGGGTCCGCAGCTGGGCCGGGTCGCAGCGGCGGCTGTGGATGTTTAAAATTCCCATTTTCTGGCTGATGGTGGTCCTGGGGATGTCCTCGAAAAGGTCGCTGAGCACCTGGGCCAGCGCGAACATTTGGGTGCCGCCGATTTGTAAATAACCCAAATTGATGCCTTGGATTTGTTGGTAGCCGGCGTGGAAATGGCCCGGCCGGGTTTGCACGTTGTGGTCCGTGGGAGACGGAACGATCCCCAAAGCGCCCTCGCAGGTTAAAAACATTTTTGTGATATTTTTTTGGGTTTTTTTTTTCACTTTGTCCCTTTCAAAAAGTGGCGAGGAACATCCAAAAAATCAAGACATTTGCGTTGCCACTCGCTGGTCGCACACATCCCTCCGCAGAGGGGCCAGAGGGGGAGGGGAGGTGAAAAAAAAAAACAAGGAAAAACCAAAAAAAAAAACCCAAAAAAGCAGATTCGCTTTCAAACGCTCCGCTCGAAGCTTGGCAGCGTCTCCCCAACACCCAACTCCTGCTCCGGGGCTCGGCTCCTCGTCTGCCCCCTCCCCGGCGAGGCAAAAAAAGAGAAAAAAATATCAAAAAGTCAAATATCTCTCATCGGCCGGGCCGGCCCCGCACCCACCTCCGCCTCCCAAATAATCCCTTTTTTGTGGGTTTTTTTTGGGGGGTTGGTGTAATTCAACCCCGAGCGGACAAAGCTCGGGGGGCTTCGGGGGGGGGTCCCGAAATTTCTCTGGGGGCACCTCCAGGAACGCCCCCGGCTCCATTTGGGGTCCCCAAATCCCAAATTTCCTCCCAACCCCGCAGACACAATGGGGACCCCCCAATCAAAAACCCCAAATTAAAAACCCCAAATCAAAAACCCCCAAATCAAAAAACCCCACCTCAAAACCCCCAAAATGAAATCCAAAACCCCAAAATCAAATCAAAAACCCCCAAATCAAAAAACCCCACCTCAAAACCCCCAAAATTAAATCAAAAACCCCAAAATCAAATCAAAACCCCCCAAATCAAAACCCCCAAATCAAAACTCCCAAAATTCAATCCAAAACCCCAAATCAAAACTCCCAAATCAAAACCTCCAAATCAAAACCCCCAAAATTAAATCAAAAACCCCAAATCAAAAACCCCAAATCAAAACCCCCAAAATTTAATCAAAAAAACCCCAAATCAAACCCCTAAATTAAAACCCCCAAAATTAAATCCAAAACCCCCAATAAAACCCCCAAAATCCAATCTAAAACCCCCAAAATTAAATCCAAAACCCCGAATCAATCAAAGCCCCCAAATCAAAACCCCCCAAA